TTTTTTTTTCATTTTCTTTCTTTTTAATCTCTGACTGTCTCGCTTGAGGTTCTTGACCTTTTAAAGAGGCATACTGTGTTATTCTCTACCAGTACCGTATTGTTTTTAAGGATAAGTATGGTTTTTGTCTTTGTGCTTTTTTAATTCAAGAGTTTAATCCAAAAATGTAAATATGTGATTATTCACTTATTTTAATAATTTTTTCCTGTAACTAGCCCAGTTACTTTCTCCTAATTGCTTAAAACATAGCCACTACTTTCTGGTTTCAGTTGTCTTAGTTATTTTCCTTGTCACTGGGACAAAATACCCAACAGCTGAAACTTACAGAAGGAGAGTTTTATTTTCGCTCACATTTCTAAAGTTTCAGTCTATGTTTGCCAGGCTTAAACGCAGAAATGACATGGCACAAGGGCCTGGGCAGAGGAAAGCTGCTCACGTCAGTGGGGGTCAGGAAGCAGTGAAGAAAACAGGAGCCACGGAGGGTGAGACACCCTTCCAGATCACTCCCCCATCAGACCTTGTCTCCTAATGGCAAGTCAGCTATAGCGCTGCCATGGTTCAGTCCTCTTGCAGAAGCCCAGCCTGTGAGTGTATGAGGCTCTTGGGGACATGTAGAGATAAACCATAATTTTAATTATCCATGTCAAGTTTTAGAATGAATCATGGTGAACTTTAAAAAATTTTTTTATTAGAGCAAGTTTGCAATACAGAATAATGAGGTTCATTTTGATACATACATATAACGTATCTGATCATTTTTATCCTTTTAACCCATTCTTTCTTTCTCTCTCCCCCATCCCCTTCCCCATCACCAAGAGTGTACCTTCCAGTTTCCTATTATCTCTCCTATTCATTTATTTATACTTTAGGTTTCTCATGTAAGTGGAAACATGCAATATTTATCTTTCTGAGTCTGGCTTGTTTCACTTAGCATGGCAGTCTGGGAGTATCTGTTTTTTCTTTTTCTTTTTTTTGGTCTCGCTATGTGTAGTTCAGGCCAGCCTTGAACCCACTGTGTAGCCCAGGCTGGCCTGGAACTCATAGCAGTCATCTTGCCTCAGCCTCCTGAGTACTGGGATGACAGGTGTACACCACCACACTCAGCAGTTTTTAAAAGGTAATATCCCACTGACTAAGGTGCCAGGCTTCCAGAGTAGCAAGGTGAATAGGAAGAGCAAGCAGAAGAACCAAGTTTGAGTCTCACCTCTCTCATGTATTTACTGATTGTAGTTGAAGTGGTTAAGTTTTAGTGGCTCATCTGTGTTCATGGGATTAATTGCATTTAAGGAAGAAAGGCTGTGTAAACTGAAAAGTGCCATCCAATGTGAATTACTGTTGAGTTAGCACAGAGCCCCTCAGACTAGGCAGATGATGATGACATGTGGGACCTATACCCCAGCAGCCCTAACCCTAACCTAAATACGCCCATTAATTTAAATATGGCGTTTATGTAATAATACAAAACATAATAATGGTGGTATGTATTCGTTGAATGCTTCAAGAATTTCAGGCTTCGTATATCAAGCTTGGCTGTTTCTCTACTCTAGTAATCAGAACAAGATATTAGAACCGATGCTGGGCTGTTGGAGCTAAACAAATGACAATGGTAAGAAGTAATAGTAGATTGAGAGAAGAAATTGATAAGAAAAGAATTAAAAATACCTACCAGATTCGATCTTGTTAAGGAACACTATAGCAGTGTTTAGCAGAATTTAAATATGGATACTTTTTGATGTCACAATTCCACTTCTAGAAATTTATTCTAAGGCTGTAACCTGACAAATTAGTAAACTTATATGTATGTGGATATTTGTCTTGACTGTATAATAGTTAAAAATTGGAACTAATACACACACAAACCAGAAGGAACTTGAGCAACACACTGGTTCAGTATGGCCCTTGTTAAATGTAGTCTGGTTTGCTGGGGATTTAGCTCAGTGGTTCTGCTGCCTGCCTTGTAAGCACAAGGTCCCAAGTTCAATCCCCAGTACCAAAAAAAAAAAAATGTATGGTTCAGCATATATGCAGTGGTGCTGTACTAGGGAGCCAGTGTGGTTCTGTGTTTCTTGACATGGGAAGAAGACAATGATTTACTGTTAAGTAAAATAAATTACAAGACTTGTTGTTTTAGTCTTTTTTTATACATTTACATAAAAAAGGAATGTCAGTGATTATAAACATCAGAAGAATTGACAGTAGTTACTTCTGTAGGGAAGATGTTTATAGATTTTTTTTTAACCTTTCTTGTGTTATACAATTATTTTACATACTATTTTATAATCAGAGAAAACTAAGCTTTTACTTAAAAAAAAGTGAGCATTGGATTAAAACCGTAATAAGGTTTAAAAAGTTTTGTACACTAATTGATGCTCATAATAATGACCATATCAATATGTGCTATTTAAAATTAATGTAAGGCAATAGAGAAATGAATAAGTTTTTGCCACTGAAAACTTTGAAATTAAATGGGAAAATGTTTCATTTACCTAGAAAAATTATTTAATGTATATATTATTCCCTTCTAGTAACAGTAAGCATTACTTATTTTTAAAGATTTTAAGTATTAATGGCTAAATTCCTTATTGAAGATGAGGTACAAAAATCCTCAGTAAGATACTTGGCAGACAGAATGTAGCAAATCATTAAAAAAAAATCATGTATCATGACAAAGTCAGCTTCATCCCAGACGTGTAAGAATTATATAAATCAGTAAATGTAATATACAACATAAATAGAACTGAGTATAGAAATCACATATCATCTCAGAAGCCTTTAAAATCCAAGATCCATTCATGATTTTTAAAAACTAATGAAAATAGGTATAGAAAAACCTTACCTAAAAGCCATTTATGAGAAAACCCACTGCCAACTTCATACTAAATGGAGAAACACTGAAAGCTTTCCAAGACTGGACAAGGATGTCTGCTATCACTTCCATTCAATGTAGTACTTGACACTTTAGCCAGGGCAATTAAGTAAGAGGGAAAAATAAAGGGTTACTAACAAGAAAGGAAGAAGTCAGACTGTCCTTACATGGGGATAACAGGATCCTTGAAATAGAAACCCAAAACTCTTAACAGAAGACTTAGAACTAATAAATTCAGCAAAGTGGCAGGATACAAATCAACACACAAATATCAGTAACATTCCTTTACACCAACAGTGAACTCACAGAGAAAGAAATCAAGAAAATAACTAAATTCACAGTAGCTTCAGAAAATTAAATACCTCAGAATTACCCTAACCAAGGAAGTAAAAGACATTTATAACAAAAGCTATAGCACTATGGGGAAAAAAAGATTGAAGAAGACATTAGAAAATAGACATTTCCTGTTCCTGGATAGGCAGAATCAATATTGTCAAAATGGCCAGCTTACCAAAAATGATATATAGATGTAATGCAATTCCAATCAAAATACCAGCCACATTCTTCACAAAATGAAAAACAAAAATCCTAAGATTTATATAGAATAAGGAAAGACCCAGACTAGCCAAAGTAGTCTTGACCAAAAAGAGCAAAAAAAAAAGGAATTACAATAACAGGTTTCACATTTCTTCAGATTTTCATATTTCTTTATACTAGAGCCACAGTAATTAAAACACCATGATACTGACCAAAAAAAGACATGTTAACCAATGAAATGGAATTGAGGATGCAGAGACAACCCTATGTACCTTCAGCCACCTTTGACAAAGGGAAAGGGGTCAAAAATGTGTTGCAGAAAAAGCCTCTTTAACAAGTGGTGCTGAAAAATCTGGTAATCCATGTGCAGAAGAATGAATCTAGACCTGTATCTCTTGCCTTGTACTAAAATCAAATTAAAATACGTTTTTTAAAAACCTAGATATAATAACAAACACTGACTTTTGAAAGATAAAATAGGTAACACTCCTGAAGACTAGGCATAGGCAAGGACGTTCTAAACAGAACCCTCATTGCACAAGAAACACCAAGAATCAACAGATAGGATTATATCAAACGAAAAGCTTCTGCATAGAAAAGGAAACAGCAATGAAGATACAATCTACAGAATTAAAAAAAAAAATCTTTGCCAGCTACTGTTTTTCTCAGAACTAATATCTAGAATGGTGGTAAACCTATGGGATGTGTGTCATTGTATTTTTCCTTTAAGACAAAAATTGTTAATGTAGAGTTGTTTTTCTAAGCTAAAACTTCAGTATTCAGGTTTAATGGCAGTGCTGGCACTTTGTGATAAATAAATGGCTTTTGGGTTGCAGTTTGGTGCTCGGTCTCTGAAAGGTTCACCATCACTGATCTAGAGACTTTGGAAATGGGAAGGGGATCCAGGGTAGTGAGGAGAGTAACAGTGGGGGGAAGGGAGTAAAAATGATGAAAATGTGCTACATGTATGTACCAATTTCCCAAAACAAATATAATTGTTATGTATTACAAGAATATATTAATGGAAGTTAAAAATAAATATTAGTGGCTGTTTTAACTAGCAAGTTGTAAAAAGTAAATATTTATTTTTGATCCGTGCACTATATCAAGCATAGGATATAGTCCACTCTTAGCACATCAGCAACTTAAAGGAAAAGGGCCGAGTTTCAGAAACAGAATCAATCCCACGTGGCAACAGATTGGCATATACTTCCTGATGAATGAGGCTTGCTGGGTGCTACAGTGATAAAAGCTGTTTCTATGATTGAGTGTACCAAGATCTCTGATGAAGCATTTATTTTGTAGGGAAGTGGAAAGTCCACTTTAGCCAAAGCAGTCTGTAAAGAAGCCTGTGACACACTGGATGCCCATGTGGAAATAGTTAACTGTAAAGCTTTGAAAGGTATGAATATGGAAAACCTTACAGAAACCCCTTTCTGGTAGACAGGAATATCATTAATGCTGTTAGTCTAATAAATACAGATGTCATTTCGTCTTTAGCTTTCTGTGTATCAGTCTGAAAATCCCTAGAAGTTTTAAGTCTGGCTTTCAGTGTTCTTGGTAGAATTTCTAAAACTTCTCTAATAGTTGATGGAGACCTATTTTTCTCCTAGCCAAAACTCTTTAAGGACTGTATCCCTGGAAAGGTCAGTGTATTTGCTCCGAGAGCATTAGTATTTGGGTTATATGTTGCTGGGTGTACATGATCTCTGAATTGTGGTTGCCTCCGGGGAGGGTGAGTGAGTAGCTGTGGACAGCAAAGAGGAGAATCACTCTTTTTCATAGAACACCTTTGTGCATTTTAAAGTGCATAATATTTATATTGTTATCTGTTCAATTACAGCAAGAGTTTGAGAAGATCATACTTTGAGCAGTTATTTTTCCCTCAGCTACCACTACCAAATAGTCATTATATCTCAGTTTTTAATCTAGTACATAATAAGAAACTAAGAAATAGTTTCTGAAAACCCATCACTTCATTGGTGATAAAGGAGGTTCTGGAAGCACTCTTTATCTCTCAGAGTCTTACTTAAGGCCTCATGAGAAAATTTTAATTTTGAGACATATAACAGTTTTTACATTTGCTTATGAATTTGTATGCTTTCTGTTCTTTGAAATTTAAAACTTTGTAACTCTCTAGCAAATTTGGCTTCAAATTTTTATTCAGATAGAGCAACTCTACGATCTCTAGGTGGCCACATTTGTGTTTGATTTTCCCTGAATCTTGATCCTTGATTCTTGTCTTATGTTTTCCTGTGTACTATTCTTACTTTGCTATCTTATATAGGCCATCTGAAATTCTCTACAAAATGAAACCGAGTACATATAGAAATCATAGCAGTTATAAAATTTGGCACTTCATGGACTCCACTGAGGCTGTAGTAGTTAAACTACGTCAGCAATTAACAAGTTTCCGAGACTGGTATATTAATAAGATATGGATTAAATGTTTATACAGTACCATGATCTTCAAATGCTTTCTAAAGGGTAGCATGAACTTTTCCAACACTGAAATAACACTGAAATCATGTTTTCTGCATTAAGGAAAAAGGCCCGAACACATCGAGAGAGCTCTGCAGGCAGCCCTCTCAGAGGCTGTGTGGAGGCAGCCCTCTGTGGTTCTGCTGGATGACCTGGACCTTGTTGCTGGACTGCCCACCACCCCGGAACAGGAGCACAGCCCTGAGGCAGTGCAGACCCAGCGGCTCGCACATGGTAACTTGTCCTCCACTGGCCGAAGGCCTTCTCCTCTTAGCATTTTTAGTCTTGATGTTAAATCTGCTCTCCTCAGAGAATGATAAATGTGCTCTGCTGTTTTGTTTTGAGCCCTCTGGCAGCAATTGCAGCTTCTGTATTAGTAAAATTGGTAGAGAATGAACAATGTGAAAAAACCATAATCCCATGGTTAGACTTTAGCGGCCTGTTCATTTTTCTTTACTACTTAGAAGTTGCTTACAGATTTACTCTTGCTTTTGTTCATTTGATACATATTTATCAAATGCCTAAGTGTACTCAAAGGCAAGGGGGAGAAAAGAAAGTAAACAGACAATTTTAGTACAGACTTGTATAACAATGACAGCTGCCATGTATTTTGTGCCCTTTCTGGGGTGTAGGAGTTGTCTTGTACCCTATGTACAGGTATTCTCCTGGTTTTCAGGTCAGTCAGTGGGACTGTGAGAGCTTAAATAATGGACCAGGATGACGGACTAGCAGTTGGTAGGATGTACTGTACTTGAAGTGTACTTTCAGAGTGTATAAACTAAATTGGAGGTGAGTTAGCAAGGAAGGCGTTTTGGGGGAGTTGATATCTGAGCTGAGTTGTGGTGGAGGAATAGAAAGTAGCATGAAGCAGTGTCATGCTAATGAAGAGGAAAAAGAGGTACAGTCCACAAGGAAGGGTACAGAGGTACAAGGGTTCATGGTATGTTGGGGAATATGCCATTGACACAAGGAGAGGACTAGTGGGGCAGTGAGGCTGGAGGGCTTGGCACGCGCTAAGCTGCCTCATGCTTCTTGAAAGCTGAAATAGATACAGAACGTAACTGGAGTGGCTTGGGTTATTATTAACTAGTGTTAATCTCAAATTTTGAATTCTGCAGCACATTCCTGTCAGAAACACTGGTTGTTAGTTCAGTGCTTAAAGGAGCACTTTGAATTCACATACTATTCCACATTATTGATGCCTGTTTCAGTTCCAGCCTTTTCATTCCAAACCTTTTAAGAACTCAGGAATTCAGAGATAGGAGCTGTATTTTGCTCAATAAACAGAACACAATCCAGAAATGTACTGCCTTTCTGGAGTATTCATTCCAGATGTGTTTTTTTGTATTCACTTAATGCCTTATAAGGTCCAGGAGTCAGGCAACTCACTAGACATGGTTCTGAGTACACAGTCTGAGTTTACAGGAGCTTCTGTACCTACATCAGATGGAGTGGAGCTTGGTTCTCCATGCCTAAATGAATGAATTAACTTGTTAGAGGCACAAAGGAGCTGCCCCATCTTGAAGCTCAGTGTTAGGTCATCATTATTTTAATAAATATATGATTTAAATTTTCATGATTCTTTATCCTGAGCTTTCGCACTATATTGCTTAATTCCAGCTGTGAGTGCTATGATCAAAGAGTGCATTTCCATGGGAAGTCTGGTCGCACTAATCGCTACAAGCCAGCCTCAGCATTCTCTGCATCCTTCACTTGTGTCTGCTCAGGGAACTCACATGTTTCAGTGTGTCCAACACATCCAGCCTCCTGATCAGGTGATGCACTACTTACAGATTATTGCAATGTTTCCCCTTTGCAGAAATTATGTTTTAATTTTATTAATGATTTATAGCTGTAAACTTAATGTTTCTAAGTGATCTTAAGAACATGAAAGCAATATTTGGGACATATTGTACTTGGTGCATGAATTGTAATTTATAACCATCTGAAATGTTATCATGTATTTTCTAAGAAAATGACTCCTGAAAACAGTATTTCTTCTGAATGAGAAAAAACAGGGAGAAATGTGGACAGATGACTTTTTTTCTTTTCTTTTTGTTACCAGGGAATCGAACTTGGGACCTTGTGCTTGTGAGGCAGGCACCAGAACCACTGAGCTAAATCCCCGGCCCCTATAGATGACTTTTAAAAATGCACATATGGGCCGGGGTTTTAGCTCAGTGGTTCCACCAACTGCCTTGCAAGCGCAAGGTCCTGAGTTCAATCTCCGGTACCAAAAATTAAATTAAATTAAAAAATAAAAACACACATATGACCTGTAGACACCCAGGCTCGTAAGGGTTTTATGGCAGTGAGCTGAAAGAAGTGTTACAACACTGGCAAACGTATTTTAAGTTCTTGCTTAAAATTCTCACTTATATTCTACCTCAGATATTCAGAACTTGCTCTGTTATTGATGAGCCAGAGTATTTTATCTGTATTTTAAATGTAACAGAATGGCAGTGATACTGGGCATTGAATATGTCCTTAGAAATGTATTTTATTGGAACAAAAAACACTTCTAAAAAAGCCATATATTACTGAAATTGCTTTTTTCTTGGAGAAAAGAAATTGAAATCAGTGTGACTTTTTTTTTTTTTTTACAATTTCACTGAGGTATAATAGAAGTACAACAAACTCACATAAAGTGTACAGCTTAAGTAGTTTTAACATATGTATATATAGGAAAACATATCCATTTATCCCACAATTTTATAGTGCCTTTTGCAATCCATCCCTTCTTGATGTTAGCGCCAGACAACCGCTGATCAGCTCTGTCACTATAAATTCTATGAGCCTGACTTTCCTTCGGTAGTCATGTGCCCCATAATGATCAACAAAGGACCACATACATGATGGTTTCAGTGCGACTGGGATGGAGAAGAATGATTCCTGTACCCTGGAGACTTCATGGCTGTCACCATCATAATAACCCAACACAACACATCACCCTCGTGTCTTAGTGGTACTGGTGTGAGCAAATCTCTGCTGCCAGTCCTATCAGAGTAAGGCACAGCCAGGCCCAGTGGAGCATCCCTGTAATCTCCACTATTTGGGAGGGTGAGACAGGATTGCACATTTGAGGCCTACTTGGGTAACTTAGTGAGACCCTGTCTCAAAAATAAAAAAGACTGGAGATGTAACTTAGTGATAGAATACCCCTGGGGTCTGATATCTAGTAACCTCAAATAAAACTGTACAAGAGCCGGGGATTTAGCTCAGTGGTTTCGCCGCCTGCTGCGCAAGCGCAAGGACCCGAGTTCGATCCCCGGTACCAAAAAAAACCAAAACTGTACATACAATTATGTATAGGACATAATACCGGAAAGTGATAACAAATAACTTAGTGTTTTGTATTTACTATGCTGTTCTTTTCATCATTATTTTAGAGTGTACCTCTCCTGCTTGTTAAAAAAAAAAAGCATACTGTAAATCAGCATACCTCATAACTCTTGTGTCTGCTGTGTCCCTTGACTGAATCATTTTCACTTCTTGATTTAATGTCATGTTATTTTGTTCATTGTGGCCCCTAAACATACAGACTTCACTGCTAATGTTGCCAGACAGAGGCCATCCAAGTGACTGGCCTGGAATCAAAATTAAAAGTGATGCAGGACTATGGAGGTAGAAAGTCAGTCGGGCATGTCCTAGTCCACTGTAGCTACAATCTAAACGAATAAGGACCACGTGACAGAAGTTGTTAAAGGATCTGCTTCACTGAAGGGCCACGGGACTAAAAAACATTTGAGGAGACCCTTTATCAGATCTGGAGAAAATTTAGTGACCTAGATTACAGCCCAGATGCAGAAGTATGTCCTGCTGAGAACCATGATGCAGCCAGAGCAAAGAGTTTATTGTGATATTGAAAGAAAAGGTGGGACCTATCCGTGCTGTTGAGTCTACTGTTAGCTCTGGTTTAAGCAATTCAAGAGGCTTCATTATTCATTCCATGATGTGAGACTGAAGGCTAAGTCTGTGAGTGCTGGCTTGAAGACAGGTGGATGTGTGGAAAATACACAAGCTGAATTGGAGGAGAAAATACTGCCAGAATACACCTGGCAAGAGCAGTCTGGCAGAATCAGTCCGGTGAAGCAGTAGGCCATACTGTGTAGCCAGGAGACTAGCCAGGTACTCGTCTGTACCATTGAGGTTTGTATAGATAGGTTTATGGTGTGTGCACACAGTGAAATTCCCTAATGAGGCATTTCTCAGAACATACCCCCATTGTTAAGCAAAACTTGACTATTACAATGTGCAATTGAATACAATTAATAATTTGAGTTTTTTGCTTTTATCTTAGGAACAAAGATATGAAATTTTGTATCATATAATAAAAAATAAATTGGGGTATGATATAAGCAAGTTCCCTGATCTTGACCTGAAGTGTGTAGCAAAAGAAACTGAAGGATTTATGGCTAGAGATTTTACAGTGCTCGTGGATCGAGCCATTCATTCCTGTCTCTCTCATCAGCACATATCTGCTAGGGAAGGTATGTTCTATGAAAATCTGAACTTGGAGTACACTTTCTATTCTGCAAAAATATAATTGTAGTGACACAAGAATTAAATATATTCCATGTAGTATTTGAATAACCCGTTACTTGAGTAGAAAATTAACATTTCAAGCTAAGATGATAGTGTATTTTGAAAATTCATTGATTGAAATATGACTACCAAAAGAAATTTTGATTATTTTTGAACAGAATTCGTTTTCACAACATTGGACTTCCAGAAGGCTCTCAAAGGATTCCTTCCTGCATCTCTGCGAAATGTCAACCTGCACAAACCTAGAGATCTCGGTTGGGATAAAATTGGTGGATTGCATGAAGTTCGGCAGATACTCATGGATACAATCCAGCTACCAGCCAAGGTACTTTAAAGAAAGGGAGGAAGTGGGGCCGGGGATTTAGCTTAGTGGTGCCACCACCTGTCTAGCAAGTGCAAGGTCCTGAGTTCGATCCCTGGTACCAAAAAAAAAAAAATGAGGGAAAGAGAGGGGAGGGAGAAAGAGAAGTTTGATTCAATTCAAATTCAATTCAATCTGAGTTTGATTGAACAAGTATTTACTAAATTTCCAAATAAATGTCCAGCACTATTTTGGGTACTTTAACAGATTTTTAGAGTATTTGATGTACTTCTTGTCAGAAACTTCTAAGGAAGAGCTCAATTGATATTTACAGTAAATACATTTTGATGTCAATTTCATCTTTCTGTTTTGATTGAATCATTCAGATTGTACTAAAGCAAAATGAATTAACTATCTGCTAGAATTTGAGCAGACACAGACAAGAATAATCTAGAAGGTGAAAGAGTCAGCTAGGTTCACAGGTCTGGTGGATTAAGTCACGATTCTAGACACTGAGTGTCTGTCCTGGAAAGGAGGAGTTGGCAGGGAGCATAAACAAGGTAGGTGGCAGAGTAAGAGGGCAGATGTAGATGATTCTGTTCAGAGGAGATGGTAGAGTCTAGGAGGTGGTGTGTTTGGATTCTGCGAGGTAAGGATAGTTGCATGAGAACAGGGGTCCAGGCAAGGAAGTAAAGAAATGAGTAAGGAGCTTGGGTCACATGTAACTGCATGGCCGCTCCTTGGAGTGGTTACTGTCTGGGCTGGGACACACCGAGTGCAGTCCAGGACTATGGGGTGAAACCTGTGTGAGAACATGGTGTGCAGTTGCCAGCCAGCACCTGCCTGACCCCAGATGCTGGGTCTGGGTGCTGGAAGTCAATGCTCAGATGTGTGGACACCTGCGCACAGCTGCTGGGTACGAGGCTCTTTCGGCTAAGAAGGCAGTGGAGGGATGACTGGAGTATTATCACCAGGGGGAGCTAAACAGGCATTCTCAAGAGGAGACTAGGACCCTGCTGACAGTGGTCTGATGTTTGGCTCATTTCACAAAGGACTTTTGCTCTCAGCACAGTCGATATAGAAGGTAGTTAACAAGCACTTGTTACTATTCCCCCTTGAGGTTCTTAGGAGATTTTACTGTCTGTAATCATTACACCTGCTTCTCTATTATGTCTTTGATTGAAAATATTTGGGGCCGGGGATTTAGCTCAGTGGTTTTGCCGCCTGCTGTGCAACCACAAGGACCTGAGGTTGATCCCCGGTACCAAAACAAAAAGAGAAGAAAATATTTGAACTTACACAAATGTCATATCTTGCTCCATGACCCATGCAAGTACAAGGCAGTACATTTGTTAAAAGATTGGTCTTTATTTTCTTAATGTAGCACTTTTATAATGTTTTTTAAAACAACAAGCCAGGTATGGTGGCACATGCCTATAATCCCAGCACTCTGGGAGGCCAAGAAGGATTATAAGTTTGAGCCCAGCCTGGGCAGCGAAGTGACTTGGGGCCTGGGAATGTAGTTCGGAGTGAAGGCCCTGTGTTCAATCCTCAACACTGCAAAAAAAGAAAGAAAGAGAGAAGTGGGAAGAATTCTGATGCAGTTAGGTACATTTATACAGCATATATTTCATAATCCCATTGAGAAAAATCTTGGTAGGTCCTTGGAGTTCATCGATTAGTAGGAATTTCATTTTCTACTATGTGCTATTAGCAAAGGCGGCAGTTATTATCATCTGAATGCTTTTTTGGGTTGATCTTCAGCTCCAACCTAGTCATTCTACTGAGACTTAAACCCTTTTTATATTTTTCAGTACCCAGAATTGTTTGCAAACTTGCCCATACGACAGAGAACAGGAATATTGTTGTATGGTCCTCCTGGAACAGGAAAAACCTTGCTAGCTGGGGTAGTTGCTCGGGAGAGTGGAATGAATTTTATTAGTGTCAAGGTATGTATGCATATTCCTTTTCCTTCTCTTTTTTAGTTGAGGTGATATTTATATAACATACAGTTAACCGTTTTAAGGTATACTCTTCATTGACATTTAGTGTATTTACAAAGTTATGCAACCACCACCTCTCTCTAGTACCAAAACTTTTCCAGCCCATTCCCTTTTCTACCCATTCCCTGGCCACTAGTAATCTATTTTCTGTCTCTGTGGATTTGTCTGTTCTGTGTATATCATATGAAGAAAATCAGGCAGTATGTGACCTTCTGTGTCGAGCTTCTTTCACTTAGTGTGATATTTTCATGCTTCATCCAAGTTGTATCATGTATCAATACTTCATTCCTTTTCGTGACTGAGTAATATTTCATTGCATACCAGTACCAGACTATGTTTATCCGTCTATAATCATTGGTAAACATTTGGGTTATTTCCACCATTTAGCTGTTCTGAATAATGTTGCTATAAACATTTGTGTACAAATTGCTGTATAGACCTATGTTTTCATTTCTCATGAGTACGTAATGGGTAGAATCATTGAGTCAGAGGATAATTCCCTGTTTTGCTGAGGAACCACCAAACTTTTTCACAGTACCTCTACCATTGCATTCTCCACCAGTGATGTATGAGCTTTCCTAGTTCTCTGTGTCCTTGCCAGTACTATTTATGTTTTGTAATTTGGAACGCTAATAGTCCTTTTATTAGCTAAAGCTATAAGAAATTGAGAATGAACCCACCTCTCTCTTGCATGGCTTCTTATGTTCTATCTTAAGGCAAATCCCCATGCATTGTGAGTAGATTTGTACATAGATATTCAAAGAAAAGTACAAACTAGACTTAAAGGAAGAAGAGCCCCAGAAGACCAGGAGCTGGGGTGGGGGGACAGGAGGGAGGACACTGAGCTGGTTAGGGCTCTGCTGCCTGTCGACTATCTGGCGTGCTTGGGTCACGCTTGATCTGGGATCTTCAGGGCCGAGTAAGCTGGTGCTGGAGCTGCAGACCATTTGGGTGGTGCCTCCCTGTCCACCATGGCTGTCACCAAGTTCTGGGGTTTCATAGCCTAGTGGTGCAGCTTCTGCTCCCCAGCGCTATTAGTTAACTATAGGATGGTCAGTTCCAAGGCAGAGGAATTGTACGTTCTGTCTTTATTCAGAGTTGATTATACACTAAAACTGTAATTTTATCTTCCTTTTCTTGAATTTGGAGATAACCATAACTATGACTGTACTTTTTTTTTTTTGAGACAGGGTCTCACTATGTAGTTCAGGTTGGCCTTGAACACACTGTGTAGCCCAAGCTGGCCTCGAACTCATGGATCCTCCAGCCTCAGCCTCCGGAGTACTGGAACTACAGAGGTGCACCGCCACGCCCAGTTCCATACTCTTCTTTTTATACTTGTCACCAGAATGCAGTTTCACTCTTTTTCAAACGAATGATTTTCAAGATTAATGCTTGTGAATGTTAGATTGCTCCACTAGGGAAGACTCTATCCTCCTTAGGAAATCATCAAAGGGGAGATGACAGAGGAAGCTGATTGTCTCAGGGTGGATTCTAGAGCCATCAGACATGAGGCCCTTCACTGACACTGTTATGTTGCCTTGTGTCCAATGCTTTGCCTCATTTTATTCTTGTCTCATTCCCTAATCCTGCAGTTCTCTGACTGTATTGAAGAAATGTTATTAAATAGTAGTTTGCTAGTAGATGTCTAAATGACTTGAGAGTTAGAAATTCTCTAACTTGGTTCCAAATCCTGATCAGTATTTGGTCTCTTGCAGGTAGTGATTTTTCACTAGAGATCACTGTAAGACCTACTCAGTTTTAAAAGAGATCCCAATTTAAGGAAAGATTATACTCCTTATTGATTTGCTTATACAGTGAAGTTTGTTTTGAAAGTTATTTCCGTTGACTTTTAGGGAAGACGATACATGCATCTCCTACGTGAATTGGTTTCAGTAATGGCGGGTGCTGATTAAGTGAGTTTTTCTCTCTTAATTTTTTCGAATCTACAAAGATTGGAGAGTGGTGGGACTTGCTTAACCCATTTACCACTTCTCTGGACAAGTGATTCACCAGCAGTTATGTGGCCCCACTCAAGTAATGGGAAGAAGCAATAAGAAGGTAGACATGTCCAGTCTAAAATCTACTGCCAGGGGGTGGTCAGGACCACACAGGCAGGAGAGCAGGCTCAGGGCCTGAAATAACAGATGGCATTTTCAGGCAAGATTTTTCCAAAGAGGTGGCACTTTGACAGAATACAAGCCATGAGAATATCTGGGACAGATGTAGGCAGAGGAGAGAACTTGTGGTATTAGAATTTTTTCTAGTACATATTTTTTAAAGGTGTTTAAGAGAAATCCATTTAAGCTGGGTGTAGTCCCAACACTTGGGAGGCTGAGGCAGGAGAGTTCCCCCAAGTTTGAAGCCAGCCTGAACTACATAATAAGAACCTGTCTCAAAAAACCAAACAAAATAAAACATGCTGTGCCTGCCTGGCAAGCTGAAGGTCCCAAGTTTGATCTCTGGTACCAAAAAAAAAAGAGAGACAGACATTCATTTAATCATGTTAAAAATCATCTATAATTCATTTAGACTCAGTTAATTCATTTAAACCACAGTAATATTTTGTTTTTAAGTAACTGGTATCTCTTATTTTTACCTAATAGGGGCCAGAGCTGCTCAGCAAATACATTGGAGCAAGTGAACAAGCTGTTCGAGATATTTTTATTAGGTTGGTTTCCTATGAATGTTTAAAAACCTTTACACAAATCAAACATGAGACTAAGTATTAGTATTCTAGAAGAATTTTGCCTGGCAGTCAAGGAGCAGATAGATAATTCCAGGATGGTTTTGTGGCCTCAGAAAATGTCATGTATTTAGTGTGATAGCTTTTATTTTTTTCAGGGGTGGGGATTTAGCTCAGTGGCACCGCACCTGCCTCACAAGCTTAAAGTCCTGAGTTCGATCCCCAGTACCAAAAACAAAACAAAACATGAGACCTTTTGTTTTTTTCAGTCAGCGTGACAGGCGTTTTGTGTTAGGGACTGTTTTTCAGACATTCCAGTCCTCCTTTTGCCAGAGATGGAATTAGTAAAGTAAAACTAAAACAAGATTAGTTAATAAATTAATATAATTAATATCAGTGCCTGGAGTGTAGCTCAGGGGTAGAGTTCATGCTTAACATGTGAGAGGCCCTGAGTTCAATCCCCAGTACCAAAAAAAGTCCAAATTGGAAAAATACATTTTTCAGAAGCCCTTTTGGGCGAAAGAAATGAATAGGCATTTCACGAAAGAGTAAAGGTGGTCAGTGAGCATATATAAAAATCGTTACTTTACTGACCAAGACTCAAGCATTAGTCCCTTATTTATCCACAAAGCCTGGGTCTTAGAGAAACACTTTGACCTCTCTTTATACCCAGTTTACAAAAACGAAGAATGAAGATAATCACATCCCTTTCCTTCTTTAGAGGTTTGTTGTAAAGATTAAATACACACACTCACTCACAAACACACTGGATTGCAAACTTGGAAGCTTTTTTCAAATGTGAAATGTTGTTTCTTTTTCCCAGAGCCCAAGCTGCAAAGCCCTGCATTCTTTTCTTTGATGAATTTGAGTCCCTTGCTCCTCGAAGAGGTCATGACAACACCGGAGTCACAGACCGCGTAGTAAACCAGCTCCTGACTCAGTTGGATGGTGTAGAAGACTTACAGGGTAATCATTTAAAATGGAGAAATACATAGTTGCAACAAAATTTCACCAGGTTTTAGTTTCTCATATGTTTTTCCTCCCCCACAGGTGTTTATGTATTGGCTGCTACTAGTCGCCCTGACTTGATTGACCCTGCCCTTCTTAGGCCTGGTCGACTAGATAAATGTGTATACTGTCCTCCTCCTGATCAGGTGACAATTTCATATTTAGAGTCCAAAACCCAACAAATGCTACACTCTTTCCTTATGAACTTTCCCTCTGCCAGGTAATAGCAATCGTCCTTAGAAGACCAGCTTTCTGTGGCAAAGGCTTTAGTCCAGTGATGGTGAACCTATTAGAGCTTTCAATGATAAAAACAGCCCACCAAAGTATGAGCGTCATAGGTTTGCCACCACTGCTGTAGTCCTTGCTTGTTCAAAGCATACAAAGATCAAGTTACATGCGAAGCCTGCCTGACCCAGCCATTTCTGTACATCTGAACACTTTTTATTCCTCCAGTGTGGGCAACTGTAGGACAAAGGCAAGAAACCTAGAATGTCTACATTCTGTGTTCAGAGAGCACATGCCCCATTCATTTTCTTGTCAAAGAAACTAATACAGAATCAGGCATATGAATAGTGAGCATGTAACTAGGTCACACAGAGATAGAATTTTTCAGCTGTTCCTAGTTATGTGCTGTGCCAGCTCTTGTGCTCAGCGCTAGAAATTAGTGAATGATATGGAGACATGAATAATCAGAGATATAAAATATCTGAATAGATGTCACATGCAGCCATTTAAATTATTGTAACTTTTGATTGGCACACTTGCTCAAATTCAGAAATCACAATCTGCAGAAGAAATTGTTTACACTAGATAGTTAAGAATGTTGATTTTCATACCTGTGTCCCTTCTGCTAGGGAAAATTTTCCAAGGAAGATAGGCCGTAGACTTGTAGTATATTTCTTAGTATACTTACAGAGCTTGTTAGATATGTAAAGTTAATTTATGAAAAAAAAGTCATAAGATACACAATTGAAGATAGTATTTAATTTTATTTTTATTTGTTACATCAATCATTTTCCTCCCCCAGGGGTCTCGTCTTGAGATCTTAAACGTGCTCAGTGACTCTCTGCCTCTGGCAGATGACGTGGACCTTCAGCATGTGGCCGCCATGACCGACTCCTTCACTGGAGCGGACCTGAAAGCGCTGCTGTACAACGCGCAGCTGGAGGCCTTGCACGCAAAGGTGCTCTCAAGCAGACTGCAGGTCAGTCTGCAGAAAGAGCATTCGGATACAGTCAGAGGGGAAGAGCAGCCAGTAGCCAGCTTTCAGCCTTGAAAAGTACTATTTTTAACAATTTTGCTAAAACTATAGACATTTAATTTTGGAATCATGAAGAATTTGATGTCTGTTTCTTTAACATTACCTTAATATTAGCAAAAATAGGTTGGTGTTTGGAAGGCTGTTATTTAAATTAGGATATCATGAATTAATATTAACAAAAATGATTGAGATTTTCAGTTTGTTTTGTATTTTAATTTTTAAACATAATCAGTTTAATTTATTTTAGTATATGTGCTGGCAAAGTGAGCACAGTTTTTATTTTGAAGATAAAATTATACCAGTCCTGCCAAGGAGACCCTCTTGTGAGTGACACCTGTGCCCTTATGATTATGTCCTCATTGTTCTTAGGTCCCTTTTTTTTTTTTTTTTTTTGGTACCAGGGATTGAACTCAGGACCTTGTACTTTCAAGGCAGGAGGCAGAACCACTGAGCTAAATCCCCGGCCCTTGGGTCACTTTCTTACTTCCCAATGCAAGGTGTTCTTAGTTTGTTACCCTTTCTGTATCCCAGCCCTAGAATCAGCCTTTCTCTAAGAATAGTGTTTTGATTTTTAATTATTGAAGTAAATTATTTGTTACTTCATGGACTTTACCATATTTTTTGTGTATGTTCTTGTCCCCCACATTTTATGAGAGATTTTTGCAAACCATAATGTTCCCAAATCAGGTACTCCTAAGGTTTTGCTATTTATTTTGGCAAGCCATTGAAAATTTTAAAACCTTCTTTCACTACTAAAAAAGTTGCATATTTGTAAAGTACTCTATCATAAGAAAGAAAGCACTTACACAACATGGTTGATTACAGGTGTGCCTTACCATGCCCAGCTTTCCAACTCGGAACCTTGTGCTTGTGAGGCAGGCGCCAGAACCACTGAGCTAAACCCCTGGCCCACTTTCCTTTTTTTTTTTAATAATTAAAATCTTGCTGCCTGTCTCACAACCACTGGAGAATTAATAAGGATGAGTTGGAAAATGCCTAGGTCTCCTCGTATCACTCTATTTGAATGTTTTCCATGTTTCGTGGATTATTTAGATGTTATAACAAGTTCTCCCTTTGTGTATCTCAGGACGGAAGTTCCAGCTCTGATAGCGACCTAAGTCTGTCCTCAATGGTCTTCCTTAACCACAGCAGTGGCTCTGACGACTCAGCTGGAGATGGAGAATGTGGCTTAGATCAATCTCTTGTTTCTCTAGAGATGTCAGAGATCCTTCCAGATGAGTCAAGATTTAATATGTACCGGCTCTATTTTGGAAGCTCTTACGAATCAGAACTTGGAAATGGAACCTCTTCTGATTTGGTACCTTGTGCCATTGTTTATACAGTTCTGAAATGTAAAGCTGTATGTTATGTTGGTGTAAAGGTAGACATTTATTATTCTCCTGAACAACCCCACATGCTTTTTTTTTTTTTTTTTTGCTGTCAGGGATCGAACTCAGGACCTTGTGCTTGCCAGGCAGGCGGCAGAACCACTGAGCTAAATCCCCAGCCCCCACATACTCTTAATGGTTGGTTGGCTCTTCAGTAACAAGGGTCTTGTTTTTCTCATTTACTCTAGTTAGTAATTTTCATTCCTTGTTAAGAACTTTAAAATGGTCTGAGAATAAGGGGAACCAGAGTAACTAGTGATTGTGATTTGGTTTCATTCAGGCTTACCTCTCTTAGTGGGTTTAAAACATTTTTAGTTAGCAAATCCCTTTTCATAGTGAACCTAAATTTTATTATCATAGAACAGTTGAGGATAATGAGAAATTTCGTATGATAATGTAAAAAATTTTTGACAATAATGTTTTGTGGAAAATATAAACACAGTGAAAAGTAATAATATATCAACAAGGAAAATACTTAGATTAGATATCATTGTTTCTTCTACTTAATTTTTATCATTCAATGTATATCCCTCCAAAATTAATAGTGGTCCACTGTTTTTTGGTACACATAACATTTTTACATATATTTAGTTATATTTTTTGTACATTTGCTTTATTCAGATTTCTAAAAATATAAAAGTTTTATTCCTAAGAATAAGGCATTGCTTTACTTCTAGTCTTTAATTCTCTTTCTTATTTCTTAACTTCTATCTAGAACTGTCCTAGAACCTTAGTAAAGTATTTGCAGAAGACTAAGAGTAGGACTCATTTGGAACCTGTCCTTGGCCATTAGTGTGGTGGATTTAAGTAACAAAGCATAAAAAGAAAACAAATCCCTTTGTTATAGCAGTTTTCGCTCTACAGAGTTCTGCAGCATGGGTATCCGTGAACCTTTATAGAATGCCAGCATATTTTAAACTTGCTTGGTTTTAGTAAATTAAAATGCAAACTTGATCTACGTTTAGTTTATTGCTTGCTTTAATTTTTATCTCTGATAAACAGGTTTTTTTGCTCCTCCTTCCCTGTTCTGCTCTTCCTTTAATCACATGCAGAGCTCGCAGTGTCTCTCTGCACCCAGCTCCATGACTCAAGATTTGCCTGGACTTCCTGGGAAAGATCAGCTGTTTTCCCAGCCTCCTGTGCTCAGGACCGCTTCCCAAGAAGGTTACCCTGAACTCACCCAAGAGCAGCGAGATCAGCTGAGGGTGGATGTCAGTGTCATCAAAGGCAGATACCAGAGCCAAAGTGGAGTATGGCTTTTCTCCTGTCTTTATCATTATTAAAACTTTCTGAAAGTTGTTTTTTCTTTTTTGATACATATTTCTGATTTGCAAATGAGCTATATTTATAAATAAGAATTGAAACACATGGACTCAGTCAAATACGTCCTCCTTGCTTTCAGTTATAAGGAAGGGAATGGATGTGTCATGAAAAATCAACAAAAATGTGAGCTAACATGTGAGCTGACTTTTTAATTTTTTTTTTATTTAAGGAGGATGAATCTCTTCACCAACCAGGACCAATCAAAACTAGTCTGGCTATTAGTCAGTCACATTTAATGACTGCCCTTGGTCACACGAGACCGTCCATTAGTGAAGATGACTGGAAGAATTTTGCTGACCTGTAAGTAACAGATGCTGATATGGAAATACAGATATCACAGAAGATATCATTATTTATTTAAACTTTTTGTCTTTTGAGGCCTTTTGTTTTGTGGGGTTTTGAGACAGAGTCTCATTACATAGTACAAACTGGCCTTGAACTCACTGTGTAGCCCAGGCTAACCTCAGACTCATGGTGATCCTCCTGCCTCAGCCTCCCAAGTGCTGGGATTACAGGCGTGCCACCACATCTAGTTTATTCATTGAAACTTTTGGGGGCCAGAGATTTAGCTCAGTGGTTCCGCCACCTGCCTCGCAAGCGGAAGGACCCAGGTTCTATCCCCGGTACCAAAAAAAAAAAACTTTTGAAGTTCCTGCTACTCAGGAGGCTGAGACAGGATATTTTGGCCCAGGAGTTTGAGGCCAGCCTATATTGACACTTTGTCTTAAAAAAGAAAAGACATATAGATATAGAGGAATAAATATAAGTAGATGTATGTATGTATATAATCCTGTTTTAAGCATCCTTCACCTTTTGTTACTATAAAATCAATATTTATTAAATATTATCTGTTTTATTTTTTAAGGTATGAAAGCTTTCAGAATCCAAAGAAGAAGAAAAGTCTGAGTGGAACAATGTTTCGACCTGGACAGAAAGTAACTTTAGCATAAAATAAACTTCTAAGGATTTTTTTTTCTTTTTTATTGGTGCCCCTATGTTGTAATAGTACAAAAAAATGGTATCTGGGCCGGGGATTTAGCTCAGTGGTTCCGCCACCTGCCTCGCAAGCGCTAGGTCCCAAGTTTGATCCCTGGTACCAAAAAAAAAATGGTATCTGTAACTTTCTTTTTAATTTAACAAGTTTGATTAATCTATAAAATCACAGGTTGGTAAATGGTGTAATATATAATGATCAGGATTACTTGAGATTAATGCTGTTGAATAAATTGTGATATTTATAACAGATTCTGTATTTTATTTCCCATAAATTATATTAAATCTTTAATGTCATAATTTTGACCAAGCAGTGATACACATTTCTCCTTTGAAGACAAAAGAGAATATAATTAAATAAATTTCTTGGAACTAACAGTTGCATACTCAAAATCTTTCTAGCATTTGATAAATATTACACTTAGCACTTTCTTGACTATTTATGAAAAATGCTTATTTTCTACTGATCCAAATATACGCAATTCACATAAATTAGCCCTGCAACAGGAAATGAGATCACATCCCCAAGATACACTATGTCCGGTGGAAAGTCTGGGATCTTTTTGAATGATGTCCATTCCTGGTGGCACCATGATTTTATCTTGATACTCTGTATTTTTTTGAGACAGGGTCTCTCTATGTAGTTTAGTCTGACCTTGAACTCACTGTGGAGCCCAGGCTCACCTCACACTTGCAGCAATCCCCCTGCCTCAGCCTCCGAAGTGCTGGGATTACAGGCATGCACCACCATACCTGCCCCTCAGTGTTCTCTTGATTTGTGAACTACATTATTAAATCAGCCACCATCAATACAAACTATGTATCTACTATCTAGTTATGTGGTAATTAGATAAGGGGGAAAGGAGAAAGATCATTAAAATATATAGATAAGCACACGGAACAGCAATGAAAGGTGTATAGATGGTAACCATTGCCCTTTCTTGAGCTAATCATGAGGGCAGAGCTGATGTTTTTTACTAATCTGTTCCATTATTTGCTCCTCTGACTTTAGCCGGCATGTCAGTAGATTAGACCTTTCCTAAGTGTGATGGCCTAAACATTTCCCCCTGAGCCATTTGTATGCTTTCCATCTAAAATGGCAGAAGTCTTCTATTAAATATTTTTATAGTCTTTTTAAGCTTCTATCTATATTTTTCTCATCCTCCATTGTGTAGTAGCAACTTTGTATTTTTTTTTTCCTGGTACTGGGGATTGAACTTGGGACCTTGCGCTTGCAAGGCAGGCAGCGGCACTACTGTGCTAAATCCCCAGCCCTGTATCCCTTCTTTGAATTAGTTCACTACTCACCGACATCAGAACCCTTTGCTCCCAAGCCAAGTGGAATCATTGCTGTTTCTATTGGGAAACTGGCCAGAGGAGTGACTGAGATGAGTGTAATAAGGAAGGGACCTTGGAAGGATAGTTGCCAGTGCTGTGGCTTGTATCTAGATGTCTACCCGAGGGCTCGTGCAGTCATAGGTAGGGCTTTTCAGAGGTGGTTGGATCTAGGGGTGTGATGTTGGGATTGATTCATGGTGCGATGCTAGGATTAAGGCTGCCCAACCTTAGGTGTGAGTGCTACCTGCCCTAAAGGTGGGTAGCCTGGAAGAAGATAAGGGGCAGAATTATTTGTCTCTGACTGCTTGCTGCCTTGCTGTTGTGCTCCCTCTGCCTTCTGCCTGCCAGGAATGGTTTCTCCTCAGTGATGCCCCTCTGCTATGCTATCCTGTTTTAGAGCCAGTCACCTATGGACTGAAACCTCTACAAACTGAGCTGAAATAAACCTTTCCTCTTATAAGTTCGGCTTCCAGAATGCATCGTTAAAGGTTAGAGCAGATCTGTAGGACAACAGCCAGCAGAATCAAAAGCAAGTCATCCTCAGTGATGTTTGCTCTGGCCCATTGTGTCCCTTCTGCCCCAGTAAGATTGCTTAAACTAGGTTGACATGTCACATAACAAACCATCCTGTTCCGTTCCTGTCCTGACCAAAACTCTTACATAAATGTAAATGCTTTTCTTCTACATCTTTGTTCTTATTCTTGAATTACAAATAAATGACCACAGACTTTGGATCAGGCCCTCTGGGCCTCTCGGTGGTATGACTAAATCTTGACTCTCATATTTTGTCTGCCACCATGGTCATACACTGTGACATTCCTTGGAAAAAGCATTCTTCCTCTGTTACCTCTAATCTAGCAAAGTCTACAATCAGTATAGCCACAACGATGTTGTGGGTCATTAGGTGCAGAATTGACAGGTTCTATTGTTTTAGGGCTGTGATCACTGGTTCACAACATATGCTAAATATATGGTGTCTTGTGGGGCAGTACTCTTAGAAATAATTGTTTCTCCAAAGGTCAGCTCTTTCAGTGTCATAATGGTTATGTTTAACCCAGTGAATTCCGTAGGTAGCCCACTGCCTTATTCTTTTAAATATAAAGTAAGTGACCTGATCAGAAGCAGTATCATATGGGATAGCACAACAACATAAATACATTTGGAGAACAAAGCAAGTGCAATTCCAATGTGTCTTCTCCAGAAAGGACAAATTGCTCCCTTCTGTGTGATAGGTGTAATGAGCCAGCTACCAGACTTGGGCTGGACTCCCCTGGAGTGGACTTGAAGGGCAATCACTGCTGTGGATGAGCGGGCTGTCTAGATAGAGGGGAGTCCACATTGTGAGGCTGTCCTAGGACTCCCAGCCCCGGCTGCTTTGGCCACTTTGTAACTCTATTAAATAAGCACTGGGTGGCTGGAAAAGGCTGGCGTCCATAATGAGGTCATCTTGGCTACCTGATTATTCGAAGTACTGAAGGCTTTTAGCTGAGCGTTCCGTTCGTTCACACAGGAAACATTCTCCGGGCCCATTCCAAGAATTCTGGCCATATCTTTCCCAGATCACTGTGCCCATTCCAAGGACTTCAGCTATAACTTTCCAGACCTTGTGGCCAATCAAGCTCTTTCCAAATTAACGACGATCTGGTTTTCAGTTACTACCTATATTCAACCAATTTATATCATAAGGAAATGAAACACTGCACCAGGAGTAATGTGGGATTCATCTTTAAACTAATGAGTGAACAAAAATTTTAAATGTTTTAGATTATTTATTTATTTATTTATTTTGATACTGGGGATCAAACTGGGGCTTGTGAGGCAGGCAGCAGAACCACTGAGCTAAAGCCCCAGCCACAGCATAGATTTTTACATCAGACATTTTACTCTTGACAAAATTAAGGAGATAGGTTGCTCAAAAATTCTGCTCCCAGCTGGGCATGATGGCACATGCTTATAATCCTAGCTCTCTGGGAGGCTGAGGCAGGGGGACTAAAAGTTCAAGGCCAGCATGGGCATTTTAGCAAGACCCTGTTTCAAAAAAATAAAAGCTGGGAATGTAGCTCAGTGGTAGAGCATTTGCCTCAAATGTGTGAGGCCCTGGGCTCAATCTCCAGTACTAAAAAAAAGCATACTCCCGTTGGAGAAGGAAGTTCTATTGTGCTATTACACAGTAAGACTGTAGATAATAATAATGTACAAAAGGCAAGAAGCTAGAAAAAAAAGGATTTTAAAGTTTTTATCGTAAAGAACGATAAATGAAAAGGTATACTTAATCTTGCTTGAACACTACACAATGCACAGGTGTACTGAAACAACACATTACCCCATTAATATGTACAATTTGTATGTAGCAGTTAAATACATTTAAATTTTTAAAATTCTCCCTTGGGAGATTTCCACTCTTGTCAGGGCTGCCCCTCAATGTAGAAGTAATGTGTTCACTCTGATACATGGGTCACAGTGGGCTTCTGTGTCTCCAGGAATGAAAGTCAGTGCAGACCCTGCCTTCCTGACAATCTCTAGAATGTATAGTTACTTCCCAGGGGCCCTGGGAAATGGCTGGAGACTGGCCCTGGATCCTCTGGGAAAGGTGTGGAGGAAAGAAGATTCAGAGAAAGTATTTGTGATATTACTGCAGTGCCCTTTCCCTGGATCCCTCAACTCTTCGTTCGTGGTTTGCCCTAGGCCTAAGAATTGGCTGAGGAGCCATGACCATACTGGGATGACTCAACCAGGTCATTGTTTATTAATGAGATTGATGGTGATGGTGACTGATGATGAAGAAAGACTAGGATCTCTGCCCATGTAGTTTTGTCTTAAGGACAATGCAATTAGGCAGCACCAAAGCTCCCTGCAGTCAGACTAGTATAGTTAACATACTGGCTTTGCCGATGATGATAATCACATCTACCTGGCCTGTCATATTGCACCTACCTGACCTCTGCTGCTCATAATCTGCCCACTTCCACTAAAGTAAACCCGTTTCCACTGCAGCATCTCTCACTTGCATCCTAATGCTGCCAATGATAGATTCACTCATTCAACATCCTCTCCCTTGCCTTCCTGTGCCCTCTGGAATGTGAATTACTGAGTCACGTGATCTCCATAGCAGCTTTGCATGGACATGTGACAGTTCTGGACACAGTACAGACAAAAGTCACTGGGGCCAGCCTCTTTTCTGGAATAAGGACACGATGTTTGGGGATACACCAACTATCTTGCAAGCATGAGGGTGAAATACCACAGACCACTGAAGTCAGAGAAAGAAAACAGAATCCGGTTCCCTAATGGCAATCATGGAGCTGATCAGTCCTGGATGTCCTACCCCAGGGCAGCCAAAGCTTAAGACAGACTGAACCCCTTGTTTATCTCTCCTGAGTAGGGCTCTGGTGATAACCAAACTCAGTCCCCACCTGGGATGACATCACTTGGATCATACATTTCAGTCTCCATCCCCAGCCTCCCAGCTTCTCCAAGTCCCCATATAAGATCAGCATTCTGCACCACCTAGGGAGCCTGGGCCTGACCAGAATAGTTTGCCATTTACTATGATAAAAAAGGATTAAATTCAGCTTTATAGTTTCATTTCAGGATATACAGTGGTGGGCTCATCACTCTTTAATACTTCCCTAATCACTATTAATAATTTCTAACCTGAAATCTGTTAAGAGCCTGACAAAACATTCAAGGGAGGGAACAGAGTCTACTCTGAATCTAAAAAAATTTTTTTTGCCATATTCAAATGTCTCTCTGATATAAACTCCACAGTGCTGGGTTCTTGTCTGCTTTGCTCACTGCAGTAACCTAGAACACTAGAGAATTCATGCTGAATCACTCAATGAATTACATGTATTTGTGAATCATCTTTATTTCTCAAATGAAATTGGGATAATAATCCTTCTTGGAATAAAG